ACTCCCAGAATTCCCCAGCCAGCATGGGGAATTCTGGGAGTTGAAGTCCACACTTCTTAAAATTGCCAAGGTTGAGAAACACTGGTGTACACCATTTCTCTCATCCTTGCAACAGTCCTATAACATTGGCCAGCGTTACTTTTGTCCTGTTATGGACTGGCAGTTGCTGAGAATTAAAAAGCTAGTGTGTGTCTTACTGGTGGGTTGATGGCTAGTCTGAGATGTTAATTTTGATTTGTTGGTTCCTATTTTTCTATGTATCCTCCAATCCCTACCCCAGCCTCTTGGCCAAAAGCCACCCCTTCAGTCACAGTCTTAGAAAACTGTTCTTTTCACCTCCCAATGAAATCCTAACTTTGGCTGACATCATATCTAGCCAATGGACAAGCCAATTTCTGGGGGGAAGAGAGGTTTGCCAGAAAGTCCTATTTCTCAGGATCCTGGCAGATGTTTCTTTACCTTAATCAGGTCATTGCACAAAACTCCCCTTCATTTTGTTGTCACAACAGTTGGAAATGGCCTTGGCAGTAATAGCAGCACTTTGGTTGAAATCAGCCTGCAGTATGCTCATATGCACGGCACCTTATCTTCTGGTTCTGAGGCACTACCCAGCTCAACAGGGGATGCAGTGGTGCAGCGGCTTAATGACGCTGGAAGTTGCCGGCCAGAAATGGTCAACACTTCAGTGGTTCAAGCCCAGCTCTGTGCGGCAAAGTGAGCTCCTGTCTCATCCCCAGCTGCTGTCAACCCAGCAGCTGGAAAGCAACCATGAGTAGAAAAATGGGTGCTGTCACCCCGGTGGGAGGAAAAATGCTGGCGGCATTTTGTATGGGAGACGGGACCAGTTGCCGGTAACACGGAAGTCACATATGTCCGAAAAAGACGCGAAGCAACAGAAACCCCGCCTCCTGCGCCCGCCAGCTGGGCTCTGCCCTAGGAAGGAAGCAATGGCAAACCACTTCTGAAACACCTTGCCGTGAAAACTGCAGGGACTCGTCCAGGCAGTCGCCGCAGAATCGGTCACAATTGAGTGCAGATTTTAAAAAAAACCAGCTCTACCATTTAGATTTCTGAATAATCTCAAAGAGAGCAATCTGGTCATTTTAGCTTTGCCTTGGCTTCAAATTGAGTTTCTCTCTTCACTAAGGACTCCCGAAGCTGTGCAAAGGTGCCTACTCAGCCTCTTGCAGACTGATGCAGTTGTTACTCTTGCAAACAGTTATTTCCAGCTCTGTTTTTGTATAGTTTAGTAGGATATCACTGTGAACCTTATGCCTTGCATTTGGAGCCCACATCTCCTAGTGTGGAGAAATAGAAGGGCTACAAAGGGGGGACATTTGAGGGAGATTTGGAAGCGTGATTGAAGCTAGTGGGACAGGCATCTCTGGTTTGCGTGCCAGAGAAATCTGTTTTGTCATGAAAGATGGAGGTCGGAAACCTTCCAGGCTGGGAAATGAGCATCTGTTGATATGAAAGCGCAGGAGAAAGCAGGGCAGAATTTAGGCCAGAGGACTAAGATACAGGTAATCCTCGACTTACGACCACAATTGGAACAGGAATTTCCATCGCTAAGCAATGGTCATTAAGTGAGTTGCGCCCAATTTTACAACCTTTTTTGCCATGGTTGTGAAGTGAATCACACAGTCGTTAAGTGAATCCACCTTCCCCCACTGACTTTCCTTGTTGGAAGCCCCCTGGGAAGGTTGTAAATGGCAATCACGTGACCCCAGGATGCTGCAACCACTGTAAATAACATGCCAGTTGCCAAGTGCCTGAATTTTGATCACACGACGACGGGGACACTGCAATGGTTATAAGTGCAAGAACTGGTTGTAAGTCACTTTTTTCAGCACCATCATAACTTTGAATGGTCATTAAACGAATGGTCATAAGTCGAGGACTACCTGTATCTATGAAAGGTAGGATTCCAAGGTGCCCCTTAGACAGCACATCTCTTCATCTGAACAGCTTCCTAATTCTCTGCAATAAATCTACTTATGTAACTTTCTTGTGTTTGGTATGGGAGACAGTTTAATTGCCATGCTGGTAGCGTGTACTTTTCTAGTTCTTTTATGAAAAGGCAAGGAGTAAATCATGCTGTAGGAAAGAAAGGGTAGAAATTCTGCTGGTCCCAAATCATGAGACTGTCAAAAGCTGAAGGTGTGACCTTAAGCATTGATAAAAATGGCTTTCCAGGTATCGGTTTTAAATGATGATTCATAATCCTTACTATAGCTTTTCTAATTCATAAAAGCTTGGGAAGTTTTGTCATATGTGACTCAGTTCCTCAAACAAATTCTCATTTGTCTAGATTATCTCTTTTCCGCAGCTAATAGTTGCTCTAATTCATGTTGTCATCTCTCAGATGTCCTCAAACTGATTTAAAAGATACATATAATCAATCATTTCCACTATTGATTTTAAAAACAATTTCCCCCGTATTATTTAGGTTTTCAGCAATTGTCACTTTTAGAAATTGATTGCTGAATGAGACAGTTCCTACTTCTGCATGTCAGTCCCATGCAGTCATTTGTGTTTCCGTGCAGGGAAACTTCTTTGTTCATCAAAAAGAATGTCAACCCGTGTATCTGGCTGAGCATGCTGCTGTTCGCAAGAAACAGAAGAGCTGGTCCCATTAAATATGGAAAATCCAGTTCAAAAGAATTTTCAGCAGGCATCCAAGAGTGAAAGATCACTGAGCTCCATTTGTGGTCTTGGGGCTTCCCAAAGAATGAAAGAACATGAGGTTTGATTATTTTGGGCTTATTACCTTATGTGTAGCTCGACACTGGGATTTGTAAACCATGGTTTGTATCATATTGTGTTGTTTGAACCTAGCCAAATGGGGTTTATTCTGCAAATATTAGGCAAACCATAGTTACCACAATTGCAAACTAAACCTGGATATATGCTTGAGAGATTAGCTGGATTCAGCCACCATTCTAAACTACAAAGTGGTTTCCTTATCTTTGTCTTAACCTGTTGTGAGATGACAGTTGTTGTTCTAAATCTATGATTGATGGCTTAGTTTATTGTCAATAAACCCAAACAAATGTGGTTTATTCTCTGGACCATGGTTACACTATCATTCAGTATGAGGTACAAACCCAATCTGTACATAAGTGAGTATCAGTGTGTAGGGAAGGGAAGGGAAGGTTGGTGCAGAGGGAGGGAGGAAGGGCGGGAGGAAGGGCGGGAGGAAGGAGAGGGAGGAGGAAAGGGGAGGGAGGAAGGGAGGAAGGGAGGAAGGGAGGAAGGAAGGAAGGAAGGAAGGAAGGAAGGAAGGAAGGAAGGAAGGAAGGAAGGAGCAAACTATATTTTTTCCTATCATCTATAGCCCATTCAAAGCAACAAAGAGATTAATCTAATAAAATATGAACCTACTGAGTGTAGCCACTTGACAAAGAGCAGCGTTTGATTTAAGAATATCTTTAGAAAACCGTAGCAGTTAAAGACCAGTGTCAGTACTCTTCTCCAGTGTAGTGTCTTTCAGAAGTATTAGATCACAAGTCCCTTGTGCCTTTCTGGCTGAGCACAATGGAACATGTAGATTCCATATCAGGATGAGGCTTGTATGGCTGATTTGGAAAACATTTCTGAACTGTATTTCAAGGTTATTCTTGAAATACAGATGACATGACAGTAACAAAGCAAAAACAGAATATAATATAAAATGTTATACGCTGTACATTATCCTTACCACTCATTTAAATATGAATGGCCTCTAAGTAGAAGACCATTGAAACATAGCCAACCCTAGACAATATAAGCAGAACCAGCCAACCTTGTTTCAGCCCCCCTTGACAAAGACGCTTTGCAATGACTGTAAATACGTATTAATGGGAACGATAAAGTGAAATAAAGCATTGTTTAAACTCTTGTTCATCATTCTGTGTCTTGGCATGTATGGGGTGAAGGTATGTAACACCTTCATAGCTTTACATGATCAATATGACACTAACTTACACTGGTGCTTTTTCATGGAACATCCTATCTTTGCAAATCTTATTCTCTACCAACTTACCCATCTTCGTTGTCGTTCTTGCTTTTTCTTGACCTTTTTCTCTTACTCTGTCTTTGCTCCGTGGAAGGTATCAGCCTTTTCTGTTTCTGGAAAATCCAGCTTTACCTGTGTGTTGGCTCTCAGCAAGGACACCTGAACAGAACCCAAAGGCTTTACTGTTTCTTGTGTCTGGGCCCCAAAGAATTTAGGCAGAGTGCCATCTCCAAAAGCAGCTTCTTCCAATGTTCATATCTTATGACTTAATATGGAGCTGTTACTAGGGTTGTGCATTTGGCTAAAGAGCTGTCTGCTTTCTGGTTCTGTTTGCAACAGAAAGATATTAAAGGGAGAGTCTTGCCTGAGCTGAGCTCAGCTCATGGAGACAAGCATGCAGGTGTTTGTGCAGGAATACTAACTGCTTTCTTCCAGGAAGTTTTTTCAGTTTCTTAATCTAGCCCATGGCTCTTGGATTTCCTAATAGTCTCCCATCCATGTACTATCCAAGACCCAAAGGCTTAGATTTCAAGATCACCCAAGGTTAGCTAGAGGCAATAATCTTGTCCATTATGGTTATTCCCAACACACGCACCCCATCTTCTTTTAATTGTAGAAAATGTTGTGACTGTTTATGCTTGGAACTTTTCATAACATTTGTCCAGAACATTCTTGGCTTGCTTATGAGTTCTCACATACTACTGGACTAACTCTCATCATCCCCACCAGCACAACCTATGAAAAGGGACAATGGGAGATCTAGTTTTGTTGGTTTATTGCATTTATGTTCTGCCTTTTCCTCTTGAAGTTCAAGATGGTATCTGGGGAGGATATCTTGGGAGTAGCCTTCATAGTCCAGTGGAAGTTTAAGCCTGGACCTCCCTGATTCCCGTCCAACCATTTAACTATCGTATTACACTGACACTCTATAGCAGATAAGGAAACCACATTTGAGAAGGCTGGTTTCAGAAATGGTTGTCATCACATCTTAAATAACAAATTCCTTCAGTGATTATGGTTTTCTGCATTTACTGACCATTAAAGTCTGTGTGCGTGGAAGATCTAATTTCTAAGAATTAATAAGTGAGCATATCTGTCAGGTTCAGCCCAAGAACAGCAACGAGGCAATTCAGTACAGTTCAGTTCCTTTATTATCTCGCACCTAATAGACAGAATCTCGCCAGACTAACCCTATGCTAAAGCAACTAGTGGCTATACCCTGTGAGACTCTAGGGAGGGGCCAGCCTCATCCTCT